CTGGCACGTAGCCATATTAATGAGATCTAACAGACAGTAATACCAAGAAATGTATAGGAGAAGTATTAGAACCAATGTAATGTAAATAAGAAGACAGAAAAGTGGGTGAAAAGATAACATGCCGTCAGCATCGTACGCGTTATTCGAAGGTCGTAGGTTCCTGCTCACTGCAAGTTATCTTTTCACTCACTTTTCTTTCTTCTTATTTACATTACATTGGTTCTAATGACTTCCCCTATACATTCTTTGGCATTATTGTCTGTTAGATTTGACACACACACACACACACACACACACACACACACACGCATATATATATATATATATATATATTATATATATATATATATATATATATATATATATATATCCGTGAGCGGTCACAACGTGGTTTATTTCGACGTTTCGGCCTAGAGTCTGGCCTTCATCAGGATTAAAGGTACAGTTTGTTCGTGCTCAGCTTTATACAATCTCAGAACAGAAGGAAAGGAAAGAGGGAAAAGACAGAAAAAAGAAAGAAGAAAAAAAGAAAAAAGAATAAAAACGAGAAAAAAAAGAATATAAGGTGGGCTGCTGCCCTCAGGCGCCCCTCTTCCACTCTTCCTTCCACGTCCCCCTTCATCTCTTTCCCATTTCTCCCTTTCACCTTTCTGATGTCAATGCTCTGTGTATGCTTCCTTGCATTATCGCATTCTTCCCGACCAGACGGCGCCTCCTGGCCCTGGCGGTTCGGTGTGGGGCAAAAAAGAGCTTTTTTAGGAAGTTCTAAGCCTTTAACTACTCGGAGCCCTGTCAACATTTCGTCGTAGAAAGAGGGGTACCGCGTATTGGGGCAGAGGCTGGTAAGCGGGCATTTTAGGAAGTTTTAAGCCTTTAACTACTCTGGGTCCCGTCAACATTACGTCGTAGAAAGAGGGGTTCCGCGTATTGCGGCAGAGGCTGGTAAGCGGGCGCAATGCGAATTCCTTGCCCTCCCGGCTGTGCACAGGGTTGCTGTTGGGCATGTCACGCATGGCAGAATTGATTGGGTAGTAAAATAAAACAGACACAGACAACAGCTGCACTTAGGAAGAGTAGTTACACTTGGAATTGTTTTGAGTTGTCCAGTGCCCTTCGCAGCTGCAGTGCCGTGAACTCAGTTACTTTTTTCATTATTGCCGTTATTGTTTTCTAATTCTTTTATTCCTGCAAGTGTTCCAGGATTCTCATTTATTCCTCTATCGAGGGTGTTAAATCGGTGGATAAGGTATGACTCTCGTTGCTCACGTTCTCGATTTTATATATATATATATATATATATATATATATATATATATATATATATATATATATATATATGTAGGTTGTATACGAGGGACTATTATTCAGCTGCCCGCTCATAATAAGTTCACGTGCTACGTGACGCCAAACATGCGCATGAAAGAGTGTTTTCACACTCGTCGCTTGGCTTATAGATGGCGCTCACTGTCACTCCTACCTCTAAATTCACATATAAACTCAAAAAAGTGGATGGAGGGAAGGCCGCTGTGGTAGCTCAGTGGTTAGAGCATCAAACGCGTTATTCGAAGGTCGAAGTTTCGATTCCTGCTCACGGCTGGTTATTTTTTCCTCCACTTTTCTTTCTTCCTATTTACATTCCATTGGTTCTAATAACTTCCCCTGTACATTTCTTGGCATTACTGTCTGTTAGATCTCATTAATATTGTGTTAAAACACGGAAAAACGAGCCCTTAGGTATACACTTCTTTCGCTTATTTCATTAAAAGAGGGTCTCGTACTGGCAGACTTGGTGTCTTTAGGTTGTATACGATGGACTATGAATCAGCTGCCCGCTCATAATAGGTTCACGTGTTACGTGACGCCAAACATGCGCATAAAAGAGTGTTTCCACACTCGTCGCTTGGCTTATAGATGGCGCTGACTGTCACTCCTACCTCTAAATTCACATATAAACTCAAAAAAGTGGATGGAGGGAAGGCCGCTGTGGTAGCTCAATGGTTAGAGCATCGAACGCGTTATTCCAAGGTCGTAGGTTCGATTCCTGCTCACGGCTGGTCATTTTTTTCATCCACTTTTCTTTTTTCTTATTTACATTCCATTGGTTCTAAGAACTTTCCCTGTACATTTTTTGGCATTACTGTCAGTTAGATCTGACAATTATTGTGTTGAAACACGGAAAAACGAGCACTTAGGTATTCATTTCTTTCCCTTTATATATATATATATATATGAGCAGGATCCGAACCTTCGAGCTTCTAATAACGTGTACGATGTTCTACCACTGAGCTACCACGACAGCTATCCCCCAGCCACTTTATTGGGTATCTATGTGAATTTAAACGTGGGAGTGTCAGATAGTGCCATCTGTAGCCATGCCAGCGAGTGTGGCACACTCCTAATGAGCCTGTTGGGCATCACGTAGCACCTGAACTTATTATGAGCTGGTAGCTGACAAATAGTCCCCCGTCCCGTATACAACCTAAAAGTCACCAAGTCTGTCAGTACGAGACCCTCAATAATGAATAAGTGAAAGAAGTGTATACTTAAGGGCTCTCGTTTTTTGGTCTTTAGACACAATGATAATGAGATATAACAGACTATAATGCCAAGGAACGTATAGGGGAAGATATTAGGCCAATAGTAATGTAATTGTTAAGAAATAAAGGGGGTGCAAACATAAATTGCCGTAGGCAGGATATATATATATATATATATATATATATATATATATATATATATATATATATATATATATATAGCCAGAATTTTTTGAGGAGGGAGAGGGGTGTGGCAGAACGACTAAATTAGTTCACATAAAAAACAGCGCCAATAACGAGAGAATCTCTCTCGCCAATCTCTCGTTATTGGCGCTGTTTTTTATGTGAATCATGTCGTACCAACTCGCCCAAGCAACCACGTTGACTAAATTAGGCAATTAGTGGTCGCTGTGAATGCGCGTAAATAGTTTTCTAAAAAGTTAAATTGCGAAAACAGTTCGTGGTGTACGGGGTTCACATTCCCTTCCTCTCTCCTCTTTACTTATGGCTTCCTGGTTCAGCGTGCATTCCAATAAATTCTAATAAATTGGTTCAGGTATTCTGAATATTGTACACGCCTAGCCAACGAACGAGGAGGGAAGACAAAAAAAAATCAGTATAAGACACACCGATTCTGAATGATTTTGATCTCTTACAAGGGCTTTTATGAAGCTCAAATTCAGTAAATTGGCGTGCCATACTTCAAGGGCTATGCCAATATGTGCTAGACATGAATGATGGGTAGGTAGGAATAAATCTTTATTAAGAAAGCGGGATGAAGGAACAGAAGCGCATAGCAGTTTGAGCACGCGGCGCGTGGCTCTTTCGGTACTATGCGACTGCAGCACCGCCGCTACGGGCAACGCGGAAAGAATCAGGCGGCGAGGTGCGGTCACGCCCCTCAACCCTTCTAGTACACTCTAACAAAGGTCCCTTCGCACGCTGCTATGGCCGCGTTTGCGAAAAAAAGCGCGCTGCTGACACACAATGTAGGAAGAATTGCGATAATTGTTCGCGCTTTTTTGTGTGTACTTGTTCGCTCGTTTCGTCCCTCTTTCTTTCTGTTTGAAGAGAGCGCTTCAGGTGTCGAGCTGCGATAGTTGTTAGTCCGCAATTGTGCAGTGCATTCCAGTTTCATGCGTGCTTTCTGCTTGAGGTGTGCGATGCAAGTTTTAAGCTTCCTGCCATTCCTAACATGACTGAAATTTGTTGCTGTTACTAAAACAATGCAAAAAAATCAGCGCTCAGTTAACAATGTAAACACACGTTTCACTTTCGTATTATACTGATTCCCATACAGGTGGGGTGGGGTCAGCCACGTTTTTTCTAGAGTGAACCCAAGTCATTGGCAGTTCCCGAGTCACTAAGTTACTTTCCGTTAGCCCTAAGACCTACCTGTTAAATATCATGAAAACCCGTTCTAAGCACGCACTGGATAGCACTAGAGAGATCACGCCTCGCCGTCTCACACACTTTTTTTCTTGAGTTTTGTCACTTTCTTTACTGATTGGGCAGGGGGGGGGGGGGGGGGTTGGTGGCTGTGGAGCCGCTGTAGAGTATTTTCAATAAATTTGTATATAATTCGTTCACGGCTGGATTCAGCGGCCAATAAAACGAAATTTGATGAACTGCGCAGGTACGACCTACTGAATTCGTCGGTGTGTTTGAAAGCATAAATGTCTCTGCCTTCCTAATTTGCCTGATCATTGTTTTTTCATTGTGGCAGTGCTTATGTTACCTAATAATTTTGTAGTAAAACAATGTATTACACTATGCCTGCTTCCTATTTTAGCCTGTACTCTAAGAAAAGATTTAAAGTATAATGTCCACATTGTTTACCGTCTTGTAACCGCTGAGTGAGACGTTGGACCCACACTTAGCAACATCGTTTCACACCCTTAGGGTGGCTCCTCCGTTTCGACTGAAACCAGTCACACACATGGCACCAGGCAATATGACACGGTACCTATGGGTGGCTGCCATTGGCGCAGTCAGCGAGTAGCACACCGAGCCCGTGCCCCCCCCCCCCCCTCCCGAAAGCTTATTTCACCACGGCATACAAAGCAAAAAACAAATGAAAAGTTTGCATCGTGAGCCTGTCGTCAACTGATTTCGTCAATGCCACCACCATGAGATAACATCACATTAAAATCTGGTCCTCATTCTGTGTACGCACAGCTGACAAGATCATTTCGCGATTACCCATTTTTGGAATTGTCATATCGTATTTTAACTATAAACCAAAATTGAAGGTGAAGCTCAACCGAACTAGAAATGAACTCGCCCCCCCCCCTCAATTAACTAACATTTCAAACGATGCTTCCGAAAATAACTACACTGAACATGATAAGTGATTCGTAGTTGCCTGCCGCACTGGACGGTTCTCACGGAGAGACTAGAATGGCACCAGAGCATCCCAGGATGCTGGAAGCGTTCACACGGTGCATTTTGGCTTATACGCACCACGGTCTCGACGAGGTTGACCCTCTGTTGGCGCAGCTTGTACAGCAGGCCCATGACGTCGACATGCTTCTCGGCCCGCGCCATGTCAAGTGCCAGTTCCATCAGGACGATGGTGCCCGTACGGCCAACCCCAGCGCTGTTTGAAAAGGGAGGAGCACAATCGAGATGGCTGGCACCAGTGGACACCTTGCGGTAGACCTGAGGCGTTTTTATGAACTTTCTGTCTAACTTGAGTAGGCCATGACGTCTTGGTGTCATGGAATTTACCTGATAGATTGTTGCACACTGACGTTAACCTTATTTATATGCTTGCATACTGGAACTGCTGGGGGAAGTGCAATTCAGCGCCAACGTAAGAGCCAAATGTGCTTCAATATTGCTTGTTTCTGGGTGAGTCGGCCAGACGTAATTAAAAAAATCGGCAAATTCCACGTACAGTGTAAACCAACGGTATGCCCAGCACGAATGAGGAAGGTTGATATGTCACTTTAGCATCAGCACAAGGTTACGTGGCGGACGTACATTATGCCGTACACGACTTCCATGTCATGGTTATCATGTTTGGACGTGCCATTTACCTTCATCGTTTTGTCAGACCACGTCACGCCAAATTTGATATATGTAGAGCTATCGAAACGGCCACGAGTGCACTTAAGCGTAGCAAGTAGTCATGTGTTACATGAAACGCACATCATGATTGTCATGTTTGCAGCAGTCATATGCTTTCATCATTCATCCACGTCCTGTAATAAGAAATTTGGCGTATGTGAAGCCAGCGAAACGGTCGCGAGCATGTGATGAACATGGAACGTAGTCGTGTTCTTGCATGGCACGCATGCCATGATCATCATGTTTGCACCAGTCATATACCTTAGTCAACCATTCACGTCACGTAACACCAAATTTACTATATTTGAAGCTAAGGAAACAACCGCAAGCGCCCTATTAACATAGCATGTAGTCATGACACGCATGTGATGATTATCATGTTTCGACGTGTCAATTACCTTCGTGATCCATTCACCTCTGGTAATACCAAATTTGGTAGATGTGAAGCTAACGAAACGGCCAGCCACGAGCGCATCATGAACGTTGATTGTAGTCATGTTCTTACATATGAGACATCTCATTATTATCGTGTTTGCATCATTCACATACCTTTGTCATTCATTCATGTCCCGTAATACCAAGTATGGTATATGTGAAGCTAGCGAAACGGCCATGAGCGAACCTTGATCGTGTAATATAGTCATGTTCTTATATGACACATATCTCAATATTATGTTTCGAATAGTCATATACCGTCGTCATCCATTTACGTCTTCTAATGCTAAATTTGGTATATGTGAAGCTGGCTAAATGACCACGAACGCACCATGAGTCATGATTTACACAACATGCATGTGATTATTTGCAAGTTAGGGTCTGTCACTTTTGTTTGCCGTGCAGTTATGTCATACCATACCAGTTTTGCGTTATGTCATGTGAACGAAACCACCGCAAGAGCCGCAAAACTATGAAATGCAAATCAAGACAATCATAGCGTACGGGCCATGATTTTCACGTTATGACTAATCACTTATGTTTTTCGTACAGTCATGTCATGCCATACGAATTTTGGTATCGATACCATAATCGAAACAGCCATGAGAGCTAAACGTCGTAGGCGGATAGATAGATAAATAAATAAATAAATAGATAGATAGATAGATACATAGATAGATAGATAGATAGATAGATAGATAGATACATAGATAGATAGATAGATAGATAGATAGAATGATAGATAGATAGATAGATAGATACATAATAGATAGATAGATAGATAGATAGATAGATAGATAGATAGATAGATAGATAGATAGATAGATAGATAGATAGATAGATAGATAGATAGATAGATAGATAGATAGATAGATAGATAGATAGATAGATAGATAGATAGATAGGCTCAATGTCTCCGAGGTTCGCTAAGAAATGCTTCGCACTTAGCAAGGTACTGCACAAAGGAAATAAGGAAATAAGGTACGACGACGGGTGCAGACTCGCGACTGAGTTTTATTGAAAGGAAAACGAATATTTATACGACACAGACCGCTGATTCATCTGCGCACACGCGACAAACCTACTCTAGTTATCTTACAATCTTATATAGGTGTCACTGTCACAAATATCTTTTGTTTCGTGATGAATTCAGTCTGCACGAGCTTTTCTGCCAGGGCGACCCCGACTGCCTTACGGCAGTTGTGGTAGTTGTGGCGGAGAAGCTTCTCCAGAGGTACAAGGCGAGTGCAGCTCTGGTTTGCGAGGGTCGTAAAAAAATGTGACTGGTTGTTATCCCTACACAACCTGAATAATGTTGCCAATTTAATGGTGTGTTTTCGGTATTGTTTGCACCCGCCAAGTTGGTTTCAGTAGGGCGCCACAATGCCTCTGCAAAAAAAAAACATCATAGCGTATCCACGCATTGATTGATGATGAGTCGAACGAAGCGTCCGTCAGCCCGTCCATGCTTCCATCTGTTCGTTCGTTCTTACTTCTGTCCGTCCGTTAGTCCGTTCATTCATCCATCCATCTGTCTGTCTGTCTGTCTGTCTGTCTGTCTGTCCGTCTGTCTGTCTGTCTGTTCATGTATCCATCTGTCCGTAAGTCCGACGTCTATTCATCCGTCCGTCCGTCTGCTAGTCTGTCCGTCTGTGCGTCCATCTAGTGAACACTCCCAGTACCGCGATCTCCTACCTCGCATCTCCTGTGGCACATACCCGACCACGCAGCAAGACCGTCGTTACCATTGTGGTGTCTGCATCCACTGGAAGCCCTGGTAACAATCCCCAGAATGCAAAAGAAGAAAATTTTGTTAAATTTGGCCCTAAAACAAACAACATTACTGTTTGTGAGAAACACAGTGGACGCATTCACATTTACGCGGATGGGCCAGTCACTTCAACAAGTTCAACAGGCGCAGTGATAATTCCGAAAAAAACCCATCACGATAAAGTTCAGGACCTCGCATCTGACATCATCCACGGTGGCAGAACTCGCCGCCATTCGTGCTGCTCTGGAGTTGCTAGTTGAAGAACCACAACAGACATGGTCAATTTTCTTCGACTCCATAGCAGCCCTCCAGGGCATTGCCCTGCCATATCGTCATGAACCAAACGAACAGCTAGTTGCTGAAATACGACTGCTTCATCATTGGGCTATGAGAAACAACATGACATAGCGTATCAATGGATACCAGGCCACTGCAGCATTGATGGAAACGACCGTGCAGATGAAGCAGCCCGATATGCTCATGATGATGCCCCTTGTGCAGCTATACCATTATCAAGAACGGACGCCGCTGCAAGGTTTTGATCACTTGCACGAGAACTGACACTCGCACAGTGGAATTCACTGGCATTCACCAACGTTCGCCTTCATATTTTGGACCCACACCTACAGCTTTGTCTTCCATCAGGAATAACCAGAGCTGAGGAGACACTTTTGTGCCGTCTGTGGATTGGGGTGGCCTTTACGAATGCTTATTCGTTCCGAATCGGAATGGCGAGCAGCCCGACATGTGACAACTGTGCATGCGCAGAAACTTTCTCCCATCTTCTCTGCGAATGTCCTCGCTTCAGCGTTACAAGAAAAGAACTGTCGAAAGCTTTAGGTAGACTAGACAATCGCCAATTGTCGGAAGAAAAGGTATTAGGACACTGGCCGAAGCCGTCCTCTGCACGCAAGGCATTGAGAGCGTTGTTGCGCTTTCTGTGGGCAAGTGGTCTTAGAGACAGACTGTAAGCAGCGTTTTGGATCATCTGGTGAGCTTCTCTCTCCTTTTTTACAACGTCTCTTTTCTCTGTTCTTTTACCCCCCTTACCCCCTTCCCCAGTACAGGGTAGCCTGCCGGTCTGAGAATTGGCTTACCTCCCTGTCGTTCCTCTTTCATTCCTCCTCCTCCTCCTCGCGATCTAAGGCGGGTATGTGCCACTGGTGGCTAGGTACAACCTGTTGCAAAAAACAGTGGCACTGGCCCCGCGCCATACCTGATTACTGGACCAGTGTCCGTGTGGCGCTGACACTAAGACAGTGCCGCGCTGCACGAGGCACGCTGGCGCTGCACACTGCGACACCTATTATCCGCCAAAAGCTGGCTTTTATATTGTGTTTAGAATTTTCGGTCATGCGCATATCGTAGTTAAGGCTTAAGAACGCACGCAGTGAAAAAAGAAAAAAAAGAAAAAAAACTTAGTGAGCCGGAGTCGAAGCTATGCCCTTAGCACATCACGTATTCTGAGCCAAACACGTTGCCCACTACTCCACACCAGATTTTTTTCTTTATTACCTGTTTTTTACAGGTGTTCACACGGAAACATGAATGATAAAATACACTTGGACCAATATTTGATCGGAAGTGCTCACATTTAAATTTTTTCAGGTTGCACAATTCCTCTAACATTGTTATCCAGCTGGGAGGTTCTTCTTGTTGTTTATACACCTTAGTGATATACCGCATATTTGCAATGAAGTTCTCCCGGACTGGACGTATGTTCTGGTCAAGATGTCTGTAAGCCATCGTGGTCTGCCAGATGCTGTGAAGGCTAATTAACATAACCATGTCGTATGTATGCCGTCGTCATAATGCACACAGAGAAAACAAATGCCATGGCTTGTAATGGGGAGATCTTTTTTTCAATGTTCTTTGAAGGATGTCCCCATAAAAGACAGCGTCCCAGCAATGAATAAACACATGGTCTATTGTCTCAGGGGTTTTACAAAATAAACAATTGGTTGTCCATGGTACATTGATTCACTTGTCCACTAGCCACTGCTTTACGGGGAGAGTCCCGGAATGCAATTTAAAAAAGACAGTTTTTGCCCCTGCTTTTACTTTCAACCTTTTGACCCTTTTCAAAACGTCCTGACTGGGTCCTCCAATAAACATAGATCGGTACAAAGGTGTTGGGAACAAGACATCACGGAGATCCCTGTACAGATTTTCTCGCTTAACAGTGGCAAGATATTCTAGCAAAAAACGCACTTTCAAAAGCTCAAAAGAATCTATAACTCCTCTCAAAAAACAAGTCACATATCGACACATATCACTGTTTGTAGACACAACAAAATCTGGGATGCGTGATGACAGCCTTA